ACTGTAAAGTTGCCACCTTAAACTTTTTTGGTTGTAGATTCTATTTGAGGTGATATTAATGAAGAATGACCTATCTATTGATTCGGTGTTAAACTCGTTTAAGCTTGTTCTATCGTTCAAGAGATTGGTGAAGTAATATCCATGTTCAAATGATTCCTTATGTAATGCCTTGAATTCAACCCAAAGCATACATTACTCCTATAATTCAACCCAAAATATACTATAATAATAATTCTAATCAAATTTCAAATAATAAAACTTAATAGCAATTTAACATCCATCCACTTCAAATAACAAAGACCAATTGATAATACCAATTTAACCATATGGTGTATAAATTTAACCACAAATCAATAGCAATTTAACCACCTTTTTAACCAAAAAATAATAGCAAATTAACCACCTGTTTAACCAAAAATCAATACCAATTTGACCACTTATTTAACCAAAAATCAATAACAATTTAAGCACATATATAACCACAAATTAATACTAATTTAACCACCATTTACCCAAAAATCAATACCAATCAATAGAAATGCGATTTTCGGCATTTGGGGAGCGAAGGGAGGGGGAGGTAGGGGTGGGTTTTGGCATGGAAAGGGGGAAGGGGTTTCAACAGCAAAATAGTGGGGAAGGGGAGGTGGGTATTGGTAGCAAAATACCCAGGAAAACAAAGGGAAGGGGAAGGTGGGTTTCAGTAGCAATCAACAACTAAACAATAGGGAAGGGGAGGTGGGTTTCGACAACAAGACACCCAACAAAATAGAAGGGAATGGGAGGGGGTTTTGAAAGTAAAGCAAAGGCGGAGGGGGAGATAGGTTTCAACAACAAAACACCAAGCAAAACAGAAAGGAGGGGGAATATGGGTTTGGGCAGCAATCGACAGCAAAACAAAGGGACAGGGTTGTGGAGGGGGAGATGAATACTTAGTTGTTTACAATTGAAGAAGTTCAGTAGCCAGCAGCAAGGAGTGGTGAGCAAATCTAACCTTTCTAAATCTGGCGAGCATGAATGCCTCCTAGGTTTTGGCGAGGAATATAGCTAGTTGGGTTGGAGTTAATTTTTGGAGTGAACCTCGCCAAAATAGCTAAAAAGTAGAGAAAGGCTAGTGGGTTGGAGATGCTTTTATGGAGTGGGGGTGGCGTGTGTTTAGGGTCAAAATTGACGGGATTTGACATTTGTATGAGATGTATTTTGAGCCTTTGAATTAGGTTGGAAGAATTGAGATGAAATTTGGGCTTTTGAATTAAAAGTGGATTTAATCTGAGCTGTGCTCGTGTTTTCCCAAATGAATTAAAATTGAATTAAATTTTGAAGTGAAAATGAATTCAAAATTGGTTCTATCTTAATATTATAGACTAGATGGATTTAAATATTATACGCTTTGAATTTTAGAGGTTTGAATGTAATTTATTAAGGACATTAATGACATGGGTCTATGTGTTAAGCGTACAATTCATAGGAAGTCTATGTATGATATTTTAAATATCAAGGGATTTAGGTGATTAAGTTATAAATCTTAGGGGGTTGAGTGTAATTTTTTCAATAAAAAAAATTAAGAAAAAGCATTTGAAAAACCAAGATTGTGATTAGCTTTGATTGAACAAAAATAAGCTAAATTACACTTAGATCCGTTCACTTTACCTTTTGAACTAACAAATTTTTAGATTCTCATATGAATGGTCTGTTTAGTAAGGTGAATAAAAAAATAAAAAGATGAAAAGTGGAAGTGATATATTTTTTTATCCTTTAAGGAAAGAATTCTTCGTTCTCTTCTTTATGTTTGGCAAGAGGAATGAAAAATAAAAAAAATTAATTTTTTTTTTTGTATTTGGTAAGATGGAATTTTTTTAATTTTTAATTTTGAAAGTATAAATATATATTATATATATATATATATATATATATATATATATATATATATATTGATAAATATGATATATATATATTAATTTCAACCCATATAATTCTTGACCAAAAAAAAAATCTCATATAATTAACTTTTCATTTATTTTATCTCTCAATTTTGGAAGGATTAATTTTAGTGAGATGAAAAAAAAGCTCATGCATTCACTTTTTCATCATTCTTTTCTTAATGTAATGATTTATCTATCCATTCAACTTTATATCTTTCTATCGTTTCATCATTCTATTTTTTTACCATACTTAATGAAGCTTTTTTCGATGCTTCCACAAGGTTTATAATCCTTTGTTTTAGGAACCAGTCGATCGGATGTTTCGTTCCATCCTTCGTTATTTTGTTATAGGGAGAATTATATTCAGACTCCCTGAAGTTTGTCACTTAATCATTCAGATCCCTTAATATTTAAAATATTATACATAGACCTCCTGAAGTTTATACGCGCATAACACTTAGATCCCTGTTGTAAATATATCCGTTAATAAATTACACTTAGACTCTCCTAAAGTTTGTGGGTATATACTACTTAGACCCTTTAAGTTTAAAATATTATACTTAGACCAAAAATATTTACAGATTAAATATTAAAATAAGTTTAAATATTATACTTAGACCATATTTCAATTAAATATAAAATATAAATATTTTAAATTTTGCAACTAAAATTCATGTTCTATTGTATCATTTATTGAAATAAAATTAAAATTAAAAATTTAATTTTTTTAAAAAAAATCGTAATTAGTATACAATTATACTATCTATTGGAATAAAACTAAAAAAAAATCAAATAATGAGTTTAATTCATTCATAAAAGAACATAAATTTTACATCCAAAATTTATGTTCTATTATGTCATTTATTGAAATAAAATTAAAAATAAAAATTTATTTTTTTAAAAAAAATAGTTAGTATATATTTATATTGTTTATCAGAACAAAACTAAAAAATTAAATAAGCAATTAAACTGTAATGGACACAATATCTTTTATTTAATTGAGTTAGTTTGATATTTTAATTTGATCGTTTAAACAACTAAATTAAATTTTAATAGACAATATAATTATATACTAATTACAAATTTTTAAGAAAAAATTAAATTTTATTTTTAATTTTATTTCAATAAATGATACAATAGAATATAAATTTTGGTTGTAAAATTTAAAATATTTTATATTTGATTGGAGTATTTTTAATCTAAGTATAATATTTTAAACTTAAAAAGTTTAAGTATTATATACCCACAAAATTTTAGGGAACCTAAGTATAATTTATTAACAGATATATTTACAATAATGATCTAATTGTTATGTGCATAAAAATTTTAGAGGGTTTGTGTGTAATATTTTAAATATTAAGGAATTTGAGTGATTAAGTGAAAATTTTAAGGAGTCTGAATGTAATTCCTATAAGTAAAGAACCAATTTCGTTCAGTTTCATGTTACGGTTTGCCACAACTTTTATGTGGTGGTCTTCCACGACAAGCCCCTCAATGATGACTCGATTTTAATATTTGACTGAGTTGGTTGATTAAGCAAGGTGAGCTGCTTCGAAGCGGTTGTTTTCTTCTAAGAATAATTATAGATAATGTTATAAAAAAATAGATTTAAAAATTAAATTTGATAATTTTAATCATTGATTTTACTGTAGATTTCAGTATTTATTAGAACCTATTACCTATTCAATTGTTGAAATTATCAAGTCTAATTTTTAAGTCTATTTTTTAAATTCATGTAGCATTACTCATAGTTCTATTCAAATTTTAAAAAATAATTTAATTTATTAATTTAATGGCATGATAGTCACTTGGTTTAAATTGATTGGAACTTTTTTTTGAAGTGTGAAACACATGTTTGAAAACATAGTGAAAAAGTGGGCTTATGAAAAATTCTTGAAATTGTTTGGAATGCATTCATAAAAATTAATAAAGTTGAAAAAATTGGATTGGGAAGACTTTTTTGGTTTTTTTTTTATTTTTTGTATCAAAATAAAAAAATAGTTACATGTATATATAGATTGTGCTTAATAATTTTTAAAATATAAATTTTAAATTGTTTTATCTAAGTAATAATATTTTATGAATATAATAAATTAAAAAGTTAAATGTACCCACAAAAAATCTCCTAAAAATTAGGTAAAACTATTTTAAACAAAGTTTTTCAAAATGACTTTTTTAAATGAAAAGTCATTATGAAAATAGATGAAAAACGAACGGCAAATGGGGTAGGTATTTTATGGAGTAAATTATACTTTACCTCCGCAAATTAATTATTTTTGTTTTATTTTGCATACTCAATTATAAAATTTTTCACATTTTACTATAAGTATTAAATTTATTTCATATCACTCCAATAGATAATAACAAACTTAAAAATCTGTCAAATAAAGAAGAAAAACTCAAAAGAACTTCCTATCAAGTGCCTAATACGACTGTATTTTACCCTCTTTTGCAATTAAATAGTTGCTAAGAGGAAAAAGAATGTTGGATTAAGGAAAAATATTTGAAGTTTAGAAAGAACAAAGTCATGAATGAATATTTTTCTTGATTCTTGACTTGCACATATATAATAGGTATTTGATTATTGGTAATATAGATCACTAACATGCATATTTATCATCAAAAAATTGGCAGTCATTATCTATTGAAGTGAAATAAAATAAAAATAATGTTTTAGTATGGAATGTTCAAAATTTTATAATTAAGAGTACAAAATAAAATAAAAGTAATAGTTCAAGAGGGTAAAGTATAATTTACCCTATTTTATGTCGTCTGGGCAAAGTAACATAAAAAAGCTGAAAAACCTTGTCAACAACGTATATTGATTTGCAACCAGAGATTGATGTGAACAATCGTTTATCACAGACCTGCAATGGTCAAGATTGAAGAGTTCAAGTTCTCTTGACAAAGAAATTTCCAACCCCCTGTGGGTCTGTAGTTCTCTCTCTATGATTGCTTTCCCTGCACCTAGATAATGATCCATTGAACAGGAATTACCAAAGATCTACTATTCTTCTCAAAAACCATAGAGAGAGAGAGAGGGAACAAGTGCAGTTACAGAAAGAACAGAAATTTTCATCCATGTTTGCCCAGTTTTACTTGTTGCTATGTGTTCTTATAAAAGTGGTGAAGTGTGATAATGGCGGCTTCATCTTCTATGAAACCATGAAGATAGGTGAAGCAACAGAGATATCACCCGAAGGTGTCTTAAAGTATGATAACAAAACAAGTTGGGGTGTGACCCCTGTTCTCTACTCACTTCCTTTAAACTTCAAGAATTCGTCGAAAGGTAATGCTTCCTCTTTCTCAACTACGTTTGTGATTCGGATTGTTCCTGATTTTCGAAGCCCGAATAGGGGACTTGGAATGGGGTTTTTGATTATACCCTCCAAAAATGTCCCTGGAGTTACATCATCCAGACAATTTGGGTTTGTCAATCAAACAGAAGATGGAAACCCAAATAATCATGCATTCTCCATCAAATTTGACACATCCAAAGATCCAGAAGTTGGGGATATTGATGACAACCATGTTGGTCTTAATCTTAACAGCATAGTATCAAATGTATCCACTCCAGCAGGTTATTTTGCAAAAAATGGAGAATTCCAAAACCTTACCCTTGCGAGTGGAGAGCCAATACAAGCATGGGTGGACTATGATGGCGTGGTAAAACAACTCAATGTCACTATATCGCCTTTGAACATAAATAAGCCAGATCTTCCACTCTTGATTATGAATATTGATCTTTCGTCGGTGTTCTTAGATCAAATGTATGTGGGTTTTGTTGCTGTTCGTGGTAGTTTAAATCAACAGGCTCATTATGTTCTGGGTTGGAGTTTTCAATTGAATGGAAAAGCCCCGGAACTTGATCGTTCTCGGCTTTCCATTACACCCTTAGGAAAAAAGCCCAAAAAGAAGCAGATGATTTTGGCATTTGGATTTTCCATTGTAGGGGTATTTTCCGTGTCACTCACAATCTTTGTCATTCTTTTCTTTGTGAGAAGAAAGGATAAATTCACTGAAATACTCGAAGATTGGGAGGTTCAATATGGGCCTCACAGGTTTTTGTACAAGGACCTCTTCGAAGCTACCAAAGGCTTTAGAGAAAGTGAGCTTCGGGGAAGAGGAGGCTTCGGTGAGGTATATAAAGGTGTCCTACCTTTGTCACATATGGAAGTTGGAGTGAAGAGAATTTCACATGACTCAAAGCAAGGAATGAGAGAATTTGTAGCGGAAATTGCTACCATTGGCAGACTGCGACACCCCAATTTGGTGCGACTACTTGGTTATTGTCGACGAAAAGGTGAGCTCTTTTTGGTCTATGACTTCATGTCGAATGGCAGTCTTGACAAGTTCATTTTTAATGGTACAGAGACCACTCTTAATTGGAATCAAAGATTAAAAATCATCAAAGATGTGGCCTCTGGACTTTCCTACTTGCATGAAGAATGGGCAGAAGTAATTATTCATAGAGACATCAAGGCCAGTAATGTGTTATTGGATGGAGACTTAAATGGAAAATTAGGAGATTTTGGGTTGGCAAGATGTAGCCATCGTGAAAAAGATCCTCAAACAACTCACTTGGCTGGCACATTGGGTTACATTGCACCTGAGCTTGTTAGAAATGGCAAAGCAACTACAAGCTCTGATATTTTCGCGTTTGGCGCATTTTGCTTGGAGGTTGCTTGTGGAAGGAGGCCAGTTAAGTCGAAGGCACCGTCTGAACAGGCAATTCTTGTGGATTGGGTACAAGATTGTTGGAGGAGAGGCGAAATTTTGAAGACCACAGATCCCAAATTAAAGAATGAATTCAAGGTGGAGGAGATGGAATTGGTCTTAAAAATTGGATTACTTTGTTCACACCCTGTGGCGGCATCTAGGCCAAGGATATGTCAAGTTTTGAGGTACTTAGAAGACCATACTTCAATGCCAGAAAACTTGGATGCTCTTCTTTCGACCCAGGAGCTCAATGCCATCATGTCAAAACCTTCTGTTTATGAAACAAGAAGTTCTGGATCCTTGTTAACGGTTACTGAAACGTTAACAGGTCGTTGACTATATACAGAAAATTTTAAGAAGCTATTTTTTTTCTATCAATTATGTATGATTTACATGCTGATGAACGTGGAAATACTCTCTTATTAGTAGATCATTTAACATGAATTCGAGTGAGACCCACGATATAAGTCGCATCCCACCAATACATGGTGAGTCATTTTGTATTAAAAAACATTCAAGACCCTGCTTGGTGAGTTCTGTCATTCATAATGAGAACCCATGTGAGCTGAATGTGACCAATTCATACGTAATTGAGTCAGATTAGGGAAGAAAAAAAATAATTTTAGGCTAATTTACTCTTTAGGTGTATAGCCAATCATTAAGATGAAATGAGCTTTCTTCAACCAAATGACCAAATTTACTCTTTGGGGTAGTCTTTCGATCTATGCCCTTGAGGGTTTTGTTTTAATTGTCATTCTGTCCTAGGAAAACCGAGTTACAAAGCTTTCTCAAGAACAACCAAGTTACAAAGCTTACTCTGTTTTTACATGTGCCATTCTTTTATTGAATAAGAACAACCAAGTTACAAAGCATGCGACGCATATATGTATCCGTAAAATATAGCTTGTTTGATATCATGGAGCTCCTGTGTAGAAAGAACAACATCTAAATTTTCTGGCACTGAAGCATGAACGTTTAAGTACAACATGAGATATGCTTGGCCTTGCTGCTGCCACAGGATGCGAGCAAAGTAACCCAACCTTTAATACCAATTCCATCTCCTCCACCTCGAAATCATTCTTCAATCTGGTATCTGCAGCCTTCAAAACTCCCCCCCTCCTCCAACAATCTAATACCCAGTCCACAAGAATTACCTCTTCAGATGGTGCCTTTGATTCTACTGGCCTCCTTCCACAAGCAACTTCTAAGCAAAACGTACCAAATGCAAACATATCAGTGCTTGTAGTTGCCTTGCCATGTCTAGTAAGCTCAGGTGCAATGTAGCCCAATGTGCCAGCTAAATGAGTTGTTTGAGGATCGTTTCCATGATGACTACATCTTGCCAGCCCAAAATCTCCTAATTTTCCATTCAAGTCTCTATCCAACAACACATTACTGGCCTTGATGTCTCTGTGAATGATTACTTCCAACCATTCTTCATGCAAGTAGGAAAGTCCAGAGGCCACGTCCTTGATGATTTTGAATCTCTGATTCCAATTAAGGGTGGCCTCTGTCTTGTTAAAGAGAAACTTGTCAAGACTACCATTAGGCATGAAGTCATAGACCAAAAAGAGCTCACTTTGTCGTCGGCAATAACCAAGGAGTCGCACCAAGTTAGAGTGTCGCAGCCTCCCAATGGTTGCAATCTCTGCCACAAACTCTTTCATTCCTTGTCTCGAATCATGTGAGATTCTCTTCACTCCAACTTCCATATGTGACACGGGTAGGACGCCCTTATAGACCTGACCGAAGCCTCCTCTTCCCAGAAGCTCATTTTCTCGGAAGCCTTTTGTTGCCACGAAGAGGTCCTTGTACAAAAACCTGTGAGGTCCATATTGAACCTCCCAGTCTTCAAGTATCTCAGTAAATTTAGACTTTCTTCTCACCAAGAAAAAAATGACAAAGATTGTGAGTAACAAGAAAAATAGTCCCGCCATGGAAAATCCAAATGCCAAAATTACTTGTTTCTTTTTAGACTTCTTTTTGAATGGTATAGTGGGAAGGTGAGAAAGATCGAGTTCTGGGGCTTTCCTGAAAACTCCAACCTAGAACATAATGAGACTGTAGATTTACACCAACAGGTGAAATAAAACCCACATACATTTGGTCTAAGAAAACAGATGAGAAGTCAAGTTTTACAGATACGAGTGGACGATCTGGCTTATTTATATTCAAAGGCGATAATGTGACATTGAGTTCTCTCACCATACCATCATAGTCCACCCATGCTTGTATTGGATCTCCACTTGCAAGGGTGATGTTCCTGAATTCGCCATTTTTCGCCAAATAACCTGGGGGAGTGGATTGAGTTGATCTGGTGCTGTTAAGAAAAAGGCTAATATGGTTGTCATTGATATCACCAACTTCTAAGTCTTGGGATGTGTCAAACTCGACGGAGAAGGCATGATTATCAACTTGTGGTAATACTCCAGGAACTTCTTTTGAGGGTACAATGGAGAACCCCATTCCAAGGCCACGATTCGGGGTTCGAGATTCAGGGACAATACGAAGGACAAACGTAGTTGAGAAAGAGGAAGCATTGCCATTAGAGGAATTCTTGAAGCTTATGGGAAGTGAGTAGAAAAGAGAGCCCACACCCCAACTAGTTTGGTTAGCATACTTTAAGACACCATCAGGTGATATCTCTGCTACTTCACCTATTTTCAATGTTTCATAGAAGGTGAAACCGTTTTCACAGTTCACCACTTTGATCAGAATACATAGGAACAAAAAGATTTGGGTATACATGAATGAATAGATGACTGGATCCATTGAGTACGTGCTAGAAAAGGACCGAGAGAGAGAGAGAGAGAGAATCCAGGCCTGGGTTTGGAAATAACTTTAGCAAAACAAGTTGAATGAATGGTTGTTCAATTATATTCCGATTACAAGTCAATACACGTTTAGTTTACCGTATTTACCATGTTTACCATTTTTTTTTATTTTCAGTAATGAATTTTACAAGTCAATACACGTTTAGTTTACTGTAATGATTATACCGTATTTGCCACGTTTAGTTTATGGTATTTAGATTAATCTTCTTTTTGATCTTGTAAAAAATAAATCATCTATGTTAAAACTAAAATATTTCCCCAAAAATTTGTAAAGATGTAAACAAAAGAACATCTACATTTATTATGAGTAATACTATATAGACTTAAAAATTAAATTTAAAAATTAAACTTGATAATTATAACTATTGATTTCATAATAAATTTTAATATTTATTGAAACTCACTATCTATTAAATATATATAATTATTAAGTTTTTAAATCGATATAACAGTATTCCTTTCTAGTACTAGAATTAGTTTGTATTAGTATTTTCCATGTTCAGGAGCCCACTCCACGGCACAAGGTGTTGGGGGTGGACTAGTGTAACTTCTCGATGGTCAAACATGGCAACGATGCCAAGCCCAATGGGAACAGCTGCCGAAATTGTTTAATTGGACATCTGACACTGTCAAAAACTTGACTAAGACACGTCAGTGTATGGCCTGTTGTGGTGAAAGTCAATTCTAATAAGACTAATGAGATTAATATATTTTATAACTAAAAATTTGGAGTTTTCCCCTAAACCCAGCCCCTGAAATCTTTACTCTCCAAACGAGTTTGTTTTAAACTTATTTTTTAAATTCATTCTTTTTTTAAAAACGTCATTTGAAATAATACATTTTTATTTAAAAATGTCATTCTAAATGACATTTTTTAATTTATTATTTTTACTAAGGTTGTTAACGACGTTCGATGAGATGATAAACTTTAAAAAACGTCATTTGAAATGACGTCTTTAAAGGTGCATTCCAAATGACAATTTAAACGTTAAATCAGATCACTTGAAATTTCTCAAATCAAAGCCTAGGTCACAAATTTTCAAACATTTCAACCATTCTCAGCTCTCCTCCTCCTCCAACAACTTTGAGCTCTCCTTTTCCTCTAACAACTCTCAGTCAGCCTCTTCTTTGACGAGCTCTAACCATTCAACGACTATTGTCTCCGACGAGGAAGACCATCGCACGACTGTCGGAGCCTTGTGAAATCTAAGCATAATCCACGGCTCCACCAGCGAGTCCATTCTCCATTCTTCATTCCAGCCTAAATTGATTCTCCATTCCACCAATGAGTCCATTCTCCATTCCAACCTAAATTGATTCTCCATTCCACCAGTGAGTCCATTCTCCATTCCAGCCTAAATCGATCTAAAACACCAACGATTGAGCACAACTCCAGTCCACCGACTTTCATCAAGTCCTCCGTCCATCAGATCAAAGCTCCACAGACATTCCCATTAAGTCCTCTATTGTGTGACCATCATCGACTCGCATCGAGCAACAGGTTTACTCTCTCTTTCTCTCGTTCAATGACTATAATCAATCACTATATTTTACAATATGTTTTATGATGTAATTTTGATAATTTTATGAGTTATGATTCAATATGATTTTCAGAATGTTGTTTTAGTGTTTGATTATTTTGATAGCTGTGATGCAATCTGATTTACAGAAGAATGTAAACTTGCCTTTCTTTAGAACATTCGTTTGCCTTTCTTTCCTTGATAGGTTGAATATAGAAAATGTACTCGTACATTTATAACATTCACTTGCCTTTCTTTCCTTGTTAGGTTGAATATAGAAAATGTAATTATGGTTGTTACTGGGTTAATCTTTTTCCATGTTTTTTAATATGAAAATTGCTCTTTGTTTAGCAAATTGGAAATAATGTTTTCTCATAATCATGGCTAGAATTAATGCTGAAGTTGTGGTAGTCTTATTGTTGTTGATTATACATCTGAAAGACACAGAAGAACACAAGCACATATATTTGTTCTAAAATAAATAAGCATAATCCGTGAAGCACTTTATTTGTTTGTTGATTTTTTGGTGTCCACTTGTCTATATGTGAAGACCAAGAATGCTGGTGCTACATCACTTCAAATGGGAGATGTTGTTGCTATAATAATGGGTGAACGAAAGAATCTTCGGAGGAAGGAGAAACAAGCCAGGATTGAGCAAATTAGAGCCAGTATTGGCCTAGCTATGATGCAATCTGATTTACAGAAGCATAAAAAAAAGTTGTGAGTTTAGAGCTTGTGAAATTCTTCTGAAAAGTTGTGGGTTGATTACTGGTGTGAGCTTGTGAAATTGCAAAGTGGAAATGAGAATAAATTATGCTTAGATTGATACATTGTCGAAGAGTTGGACTCAGACTTGGTATCTTGTGAAATGTGTGTTCACCTATTTTATATGTATATAAGATTGCCTAGGGATTAGGGAGAAAATATTCAATGCAACGATGGTGCTAGTTGATCAATGACATATATCATAATGTCATAACAATGTGCTCCATATACTAGTTAAATATATCAAACTCCTTTTAAGTTGTTATTTGGTCATGTTAGGTATTCTTATGAGTTGTTGAACCTCTATATGCAACACATTGTTAGCCAATCGTGATAACACTTATAATTGATATTGTAAAATCACTATTGCTCTGAATATTCACCTCTTCATACAGTACAAGCCTATCTTCATACAATACCAACCTATCTTTGTCACACCCCCACCCCGGATCACATAGGGTGGGCGGCGGACCGACCAACAAGGCTTTAACCAACTAACTCTGTGTATAATAAATGCAAAATACAACGGAAGACAAATAATAAAGTGATGTAATTCATCGACCTAATGAACACCAGAGGAATAAACTAAACATTAACAACATCATTATTAAACTCATATAAAATAATAAATAAACTATAAGGTTCACTACTCTAAACATGAGTAACATTATTCCCAAAATAATTAAATATTTGTCTCAAAACCATAAAAGACATTTATTCCTAAAGACTTACAATAAAATAAATCTCAAATTCTTTTTAATCCTTTGTCTATCCAGGGACTTAATCCCCCTTGATCCTCACTTGAAAAATGTTAAATGTTTGGATGAGCACAAAGCCCCGTGAATAGCAACCACCTCTAATGAGGTGTGAAAATAAATCTCACATTTTATACACAAAAATAACCTTTGTTATATACATAAGTACAACAAATTGTACCCCAATCCATTCCACATAATCATGTAAACAAAATGATCTCATGATTATAAATAATTTTATAAAAAAAAGACATTTATAACCCAACACCCACTCATTTTCACAAATAACTTATAAATGAAAGGACATTTATAACTCAAAACACTCACACACACATTCAGTTTCAAACACATTTGCCATATCATGTTTGTTACTACTAGCCTTGTAATTGACCCTATCTCTTGTCATCACTAGCCTGATGACAGACCCCGTCTCTTGTTACCACTAGCCTGGTAACTGGCCTCTATGTGCATATCCCTATACCGATCATGCCGATATACAATCTCGTTACCATTTAGACCTAATAACTCAGTCCCCTTCTCATAAAACATGATTTTAACACACACAAAAACTGTCATTTTAGTCCCAACGCACATAAAATTTTCCTTTCATCACCAAAATACATTTAAGCAATGATAAAAAAATCATCCCTGAAGTTTTTCAAATTCACATGTATAACAATTCACAATTGTAAAACATTTAATTGCAACCCCAAACATCAACATATATCATATATATGAAATATCCACACACGCACCCACAAGAAAAATATAGAAAAATCCTCTCAAAAGAAGTAATAAAATACTCACCTTGATTTCTAAAATTCAATCCAAAGCACCATTTCCCAATCTCAATGCAATCACCACCTAATCCAAAATAACATATAACAATCAATTTTTTTTTCTAACTTCGTCGTTTTGCGATTCTATATTTAATTTTTATACTTCTCATTCATTAATATATACTTAATATATCTTTTACATATAAATATCCTTTCTAATATGAGGTAATAGGGTATGGAAGCATAATGGGCTGTTTGGAAAAAAAAGTTTCTAAAGTTTTGGGGTCAAAGTGTAATTTTCTTAAAAAGAATTTTCTATTTTCTAGCCTGCCATAAATTTTTCAGAAAAGTATTTAAGGTTCTAGAGACCCATTTTCCGAGAATACAACCTCAATTTGATTTATTAGAGTAATCATTGATTTTTAAACACTTAATCAAAACTTTTAGGGATTGTTTCAAAATTTCAAAAAATTTTCAAGACTCGGGGGCTGTTTTGAAATGACTATTTTTGTTTCAAACATATTGGGTCAGTTCTATAAATTACCAAGTTTTATGGAAGTCAAAAATTTAGTTTATAAAAGTATAGAGATCAAAATAAAACTACTTAAAACTAAAGGGGAGGTTTCCATAATTTCAAAACTTTCATCTTCTTCAACCTTACGAATTCTAGAAGAATGGTGTGCATCTTTTTCTTTCTTCCCCTTTTTTTCCTAATATCTTCTTAACACAAATACCCACCATATTATATTTGAATTAACATATTTCAACCTTATAAACTTACCCATATGGATTGCTTGCAATATATAATATGTTACAAACTTGTATATTTGTACATATAATGATTAAATACATAATTAAATTTCAATATGAAGACTAACCTTGATGATCAAATCTTTTAGTTTTCTTCCTTCTTCTCTAAATCCATTCCTTCTTTCTCTTTCTTTTTCTTTACTTGAAACCCTAGCCTCTCTCTCTTTTCTCTGATTCTAACGTGTGTGTAGGTATTACTAAGGAAAGAGAATATATATGTATATCTATATATCAATAGACCTCTAGGGTAACAAGGGGACTTATTTTAATCATACTTTTATCCCTTTTTCTATTATTATTTTTATTTTACAGTTACCCTTGATACTCAATACACTAAATATATATATATATATATATATATATAGTTAACCATAAGGCTTCAACGTACAACTAATTCTAAATTTCTAAATAATTTGCTCTCTTTTTATTTATCTATCTATTTATTAGATAGGTCCAAACACATACCTGTATTGGGCATTACAATCTTCTCAATAAATTCTACCAACCTAAACTTATTCGATGAAAGCATGAACAAGTAAGGTTTTTACGTTTTGGTTGTGTATACACACAAACTTTTGATGTCTTTATTGTAGAATTGTTAATAATGGCTGGAAGACGTACTTCTGTGATGGTTTATTGGGGTGGTACCACATTCAAGAACCATGATATTTTACGATACGATAATGGTTATAAGCGTGTAATAAAGGTTACTCATGACACAACTCACTTGGCTTTGGTGAATAGGTTGCATGATGTGATAGGGATAGATAGAAATAAATACAATCTCAAACTTATCTGTATGTTTCCTACTGCATTGACAACTAACCTTTTTACATATATTCTAGTAGAAGTTGTTGACAATGACAGTTTAGAGGCAATGGTGCATGTTGTATTTGATAATCAAGGTGTTAACAAAGTGGATTTGTATGCGAGCGAAGAGGTTAGAGTAGATGACATCGGTGGAAGTAATGAAGGTTTGCTTTATGGTGGTTCATACTCTTCCTTACTCGGCCAACAATCATATATCCTAGTGCTTGACCCTTCAGCCATGGTGGATAATTATTACACCCATTTAACAATACAGTGTATAGAAGAATACAATCGATATACACATATACAGTCGAAAATAGGGCCTACTACTTTTTCCGAATGCTCATCCCAGCAAGAATACAGTGTTACACTAAGTAATGAGGGAATGAAAATAATTGCAGTTACTCCGACATCGGCACCATTGAACACACACACAAACAATATTTTAAGCATTTTTTTGGTAATGTCCAACATTGAATTAATTAATTTTTTTTAATTTATAATTGTTTTTTTAGTAGCTTTCAAAGTTTATAAATTTTTGTACGAAACATGCTTTTAATAATATATTTTTTAGTTAAAACAAAATAGTACTCAACAAAAAATTTAATATCATCAAAATAATTAACAAACACTTCAGTTGTGTTAATAAAAAATATAGTGTTTTTTTGGGTTTTTAGTATTTTTTTTTTGGGTTTTTTTGGATTTTATTTATTAAATAGTTTTAAGGATTTATAGGTTTTTTTATTTTATTTTTATTATTTTTTTAGACATTTTGCAAAAAACGTCACTTAAAATGTCATTTTTAAATACGTCGTTTAAACTGAAGTTTTTAAAAACGTCATTGTAAGTGATGTTTTCTAGGCAATTTTCTTTTTAACACCTGTTAAATTTGTCGTTTCAATTTCACTAAGTTTAACGTCATTCTTACTGACGTTTTTAATAACGTCCTTAGAAATGACGTTTTTAATAGAAAAAAAATTCAATTTTCAATTCATCATTTTAATTGACGTTTTAATCTTGAAGACGTCATTTGGAATGACGA